CACACGTTTTCTTCAGGCTCACACAGAACATTCACCCAGGCAGACTACAATGTACAAACCTTCACGAATTTAAAGGAATCGGAAAGTATGCAGTCAGACAACAATGGAATTAAACCAGAAATCAGTAACAGAACGACAGCTGGGAAACTCCCCAAATACCTGACGATGACACAACACTCTTCTAAATGACACACATGAATCCAAGACGTATCAAAACCCATTTAGAAATATTTTCAACTAAGTAAAAATTAAAATACAACTGATAAAAAGCTATGTACTTATTAAAAGGATGCAGCAAAAGGAGTGCAAAAAAATTAGAAAAGAAGAAAGACTTCAAATAAATAATCTAAGCTTCTACTTTAGAAGTTGGAAAACCAACAGCAAATTAATTCCAGAGTAAGCAGAAAAGAACATATAGTAAAAATCAGAGTGAAAGAATGAAATTAAAAATAGAAAATCACTAGAGAAAAACAACAAAATCAAAAGTTGGGTCTTTGAAAAGATGAATAAAATTGATAAGACTCTATACAAGTTAACTAAGAAAAAAAAAGAGAAAATACCAATTAGATTCTATCATGTACTAAGATCAGAAGTGAAAACGGGGCTATCACTACTGATCCCATGAACATTAAAAGGATAACAAAGAAATGTTTAAAAAACAGGATAACAAAGAAATACTATGAACAACTCCATGATCATGAATTTAGTCACCTAGATGAAATGCACCAATTCTTTATAAGACACAATCCATGAAAACTCACAGAGGGAAGAATAGATAATCTGAATAAACTTATATTTATCAAGAAAATTAAATCAACAATTAGCAACCTTTCAAAACAGAAAGCACCAGGTCCAGATAAGTTCACTAGTGAATTGTACCAAATATTTAAGAAAGAAATTATACCAATTATCTATAACATATTTCATAAATTCAAGAGGAAGTATTTGCTAACTTATTTTATGAGGCCAGCATTAACCTAATACCCAAACCAAGTGAAAACAAGTGGAAAATTACAGATCGATATCTCTAATGAACGTAGATGAAAAAATCCTCAACAAAATACTGGCAAATCAAATCCAACAATGTAAAAAAGAATTCTACACCAGGATAAAGTAAGATTTATTCTAATTACACAACATTGGTTCGACATTTGAGGATCAGTTAATGTCACATCAACAATGTAGAGAAGAAAAATCATAATTTTAACCGTAGATGCAGGAAAAGCATTTGACAAAATGCGGCAGCCATCTATGATAAACACAGATGGTCCCTCAGTTGCGATGGTTTGACTTACGATTTTTTTGACTTTATTATGCTGCAAAAGCAATATGCATTCAGTAGAAACCATAATTCAAGTTTCAAATTTTGATGTTTTCCCAAGCTAGCAATATGCAGTATAATATTCTCTCATGATGCTGGGCAGCAGCAGTGGCAGTGAGCTGTAGCTCCCAGTTAGCCGTGCAATCACAGGCGTAAACAACCAATATTCTATAGTATATTAAATGCATTTTCAACTTACAACGAGTTTATCAGGACACAATCCCACTGTAAGTCGAGAGGCATCGATACTCTCAGTAACTAGGAATAGAGGGAAACACTCTCAACTTGATAAAGAACATCTACAAATAACCTATAGCTAACATACTTTATGGTAAGAAAGTAGTTTCCCACTAAGATCAAGAACAAGGCAAAGATGGCCCCTCTCACAACCATTCAACATCATTCCAAAAGTCTTAGCTAATGCAATAAGACAATTAAAAAAATAAAATCTGGCTGGGCACATTTGCTAAAGCCTATAATCTCAACACCTTGGGAAGCCTACGCAGGAGGACTGTTTGAGCCCAGGAGTTCAAGACCAGCCTGGGCAACATGATGAGACCTCAACTCTACAAAAAGTAATAATAATAAAACAATAGCCAAGCATGATGGTGTGCATCTGTGGTCCCAGCCACCAGGGAGGCTGGGGTAGGAGGATCACTTGAGCCCAGGATGTCAAGGCTACAGTGAGCTATGATCATGCCACTGCACTCCAGCCTGTACAACAGAGCAAGACCCTCTCTCAAAACAATTAATTAAGAAAAATAAATGAAAAATGTAAAAAACACAAAATCTAAACATATTGGAAAGGAGAAAATAACACTCTCTTTGTTTGCAGATAATATGCTTGTTGATGAGGAAAATCCCAAAGAATCAACAAAAAAATGCTGGAACTAATAAGTGACTTATACCAAGGTTGCAGAATACAAGGTCAATACACAAAGTCAATTGTTTTCTTCTATATTAGCAATAAATCATTGGAATTTGAAATTAAATACATAATACCATTTACACTAAAAAATAAAGTAGGTAGCTAGGCACAGTTCCTCATGCCTGTAATCCCAGCACTTTGGGAGGCCGAGGCAGGTGGATTACCTGAGGTGAGGAGTTCAAGACCAGCCTGGCCAACATGGAAAAAGCCCAATAAAAAATTAGCCAGGTGTGGTGGCACATGCCTGTAGTCCCAGCTACTCGGGAGGCTGAGGCAGAAGAATTGTTTGAACCCAGGAGGCAGAGGTTGTAGTGAGCCGAGACTGCACCATTGCACTCCAGCCTGGATGACAGAGCAAGACTGTGTCTCAAAAATAAAATAAAATAAAATAAAATAGGTATAAATCTCACAAAATTTGTAGAAGATCTATTTGAGGAAAACCACAACACTGATTAAAGTAATCAAAGAAGATCTAAGTAAATAGAGATATTCCATGTTCATGGATAGCAATATTCAATAGTATCAAAATGCCAGTTATTCCCAACTTGATCAATAGATCCAACACAATTCCAATCCAAATCCTATTTTGTGGATATCAACACACTGATTCTAAAGTTTACAGGGAGACAAAAAAGTCCCAGAATACTCATCACAATATTGAAGAACAAAATTGGAGTCCTGATATTACCCAACTTCAAGACTTAATATAAAGCTACAGTAATCAAGATAGAGTGATACTGGCAAAAGAATTGACAAGTAAATCAATGGAACAGGATAGCCCAGAAATAGACTCCAAAATATGGACAACTGTCCTTCAAACATGATCTAAATGTAAAATAAACAATTATAAAATACCTAGAAGAAGAAAGGAGAAAATATAGTGAACTTGGATTTGGTAATAAATTTTTAAATGCAAAGTTAAAAGTACAATCTATGAAAGAAAAAATTGGTAAGTTAAACTTCATTAAAATTAAAAATTTCTGCTCATTGAAAGACACTGTTAAGAGAAGTAAATGCCAAGTCAAAGACTGGGAGAAAATACTTGAAAAAGACGTATCTGATAAAGGATTGGCATCCAAAATACAACAAGAATTGTTAAAACTCAACAATAAGAAAATGAACAACCTGATTTTAAAAATGGGTGAACAACCTGAACAGACACCTCACTCAAAGATGTGATATAGGTGGAATATAGGCACATGAAAAGATGCTCAGCATCATTTGTGATCAGGAAATTGAAACTAAAACAGCAATGAAGTTCCACTACACACCTATTAGAACAGCTAAACTCTAAAACACTGACAACACCAAATGCTAATGAGGATATGGAGAACAATGAGAACTCTTGGACACAGGAAGGGGAATATCACACACCGGGGCCTGTTGTGGGGTGGGGGGTGAGGGGAGGGATAGCATTAGGAGATATACCTAATATAAATGACGAGTTAATGGGTGCAGCACACCAACATGGCACATGTATACATATGTAACAAACTGCACGTTTTGCACATGTACCCTACAGCATAAAGTATAATTTTAAAAATTGAAAAAAAAAAAAGACCGGTTCAAGATCTCTCTCTCCCATAAAAACATTCCCAAAGACATTAGCTTTTCCTAACTTTCTTCTCTTATTATAATTATAGCTTATACCAAGAAGTAAAGGCCTATACTATATTCTCTAATGTGCTGCTTATGGTGTTAATAGGGAATAGTTCTGTCTTCTCAAGTAGATAGTAAATACATTCTGCTTTATATCTTTCAAGTTTTATCCACAACATCTTAGGGATTAATAGAGCCTTGTTAATGAAATAGTTCCTAGGATATTATTTCAGCTTTACTGGTAATCCAAGACCACCTGTATATTAATGACTGTGTCCTCCAAGAACAAACAGGAAATTACATGTTAAGATCAGAAATTCCCTGGTAAATCAGGACAGTGAAACATCTAAAGCCTCCTTAAGTTACATACTGGCCTTGCATCATCTTAAAATGTCAACAATATAATATATAATATCATATACTATATATAAAAACATGATACAAGAGATATCAGTAATTCCTATAAAAATATTGTACAATCTAATACACTGAAACTAGAAAGAAAGAAAGAGGGAGAGAAAGAAAGAAAGAGGGAGAGAAAGAAAAGAAGTAAAACACGACATACTTTGGGGAGATGAAAAGGCTCTATTAGCATTAATGACATTAGTAAACTGCACACAGTTGAGCATATAACCCTCTAGTGTCACAAGCTATATATGAGGTGTTTGGTTTCTTGATCACTACTGTCAGTACCCTATGAACCATTCTCATTCAAAGTCAAAGTAAGAGCCCTAATACTGACAGTGGAGAAGAACTGGTCTTGCCAGTTTAGAATCCCTGATTGTTGTACCCCTGCCCCAGTAGGTTGACAAGTGTGGGAGAATGATTGCTATTTGTATTCCAAAGCATTTGCCATTTGCTGGGTTACAGCAAGTGGGGTGAGAAGGAAAACTTCTGAAATATGAGACCATATTATGAAATCATTAGACATAGTAATGAACTACTGCGAAATCAAGCAATCAGAAATGGTATGGTCAAGAGCATCATTCCCAAGTCTGACAAGCTCTTGTGACACATCAGTCTGTCAATCATGTAAGAATAGCAATTGTCAATGCCTTGCTACAAACATGAAGATTTATAGTAGCAAATTTGTATACAATGCATAGTTAATATAAGCTTTATTTAGTTTTAAATTCTTAATGAGAAACTTACCTTGCAGAACTTAACTTCTGCCTCTAAATGATGAATATATTGAGACTGGTCATTAATAATAGGAACAAGGTTGTGCATAGTAGGCATATTGGTTTCCTCATGTTCTAATGACCTCTGCGACAAAAATAAATAAATAAATACATACATACATACATAATTTTTAAAAAGCAAAATTAAGCATGTTTGGATTTAGCAAAGAATCAGTTGTTACCTTCTCCATACTCCATTGTGCACTGATGTGATATAAACATATAATTGATCACAATGTAGCTGACAATCTTCATATAGTTCGGATGCTTATCCCCCACCAACCTCATGTTGAAATGCAGCCCCCAGCATTGGAGGTGAGGCCTGGTGGGAGGTGTTTAGGTCATGATGAATGGATGAATACCTCGGTGCTGGTGCTATCCTCATGATAATGAATTCTTGCTCTGAGTTTTGGTGAGATCTGGTTGTTTAAAAGAATGTGACACCTCTCCTCGCTTCTTGCTCCGGCTCTCACCACATGAAATGCCTGTTCCCCTTCCACCTTCCACCACGACTGAAAGTTTCCTGAGGCCCTCACCAGAATGAGATGCCAGTCCCACACTTCCCATACAGCCTGCAGAATCCTGAGGCCCTCACCAGAATAAGATGCCAGTCCCACACTTCCCATACAGCCTGCAGAATCCTGAGGCCCTCACCAGAATGAGATGCCAGTCCCACACTTCCTGTACAGCCTGCAGAACCATGAGCTGATTAAACCTCTTTTTCGGATAAATGACCCAGCCTCAGGTATTTATTTATAGCAACACAAGAATGGACTAACACAAATACTTGCTTCTCTATCCTATAAATTCCACAAATACACAAGATTCACGGACGTGAATATCATTTTGTTTTTTAAGATGGATGGTGAAAGTGGTTATAAAAAGCACATACAGTGAATGGAAAAATGCTGGGGTAGCAGTAGTATAACTGGCTTGGAATGAACGATTTTAACAAATTGGAAAAACAACATTCCATTCAGTAATGCTGAGATACAAGGGACAACTCTCTCCGAGAAACTGCCATGGAAGAGGATTTGCTAGCTAAAACTGCAGCAGCTCCGTGACGGAGAGATTCTTTAGGAACTCTTTGATGCCAAGCCTGTGTCAATGCGATAAAATTCCATCTCAAAAAGGATACATTAGCAAAACATAGTTTTCGATTTTTGACTCTCGTATTGAAGGCAATTCAAGCGTATGCTGTTCTGGAGCACAGAACCTCCAAGAGTAGAGCCCTGAAGTAGTTTTACTACTTCTTTCGTTGAGGGGTCCAACGAAGAGATTTCAAAAAAAACACTAATGTTATTTTAGCTCTGTAGCATTCCTGGAACTTACTGCTAAGGTGTATCTTACCTTATCTTAAAGTGACTGTGATAAGTTTGTAAAATCATATACACATCACATGATTTTTTTTTAAAAGGATGAGGAAATCAGGAAAAGGGAAAACAAGGGTCACCCAGTTAAACAAACCCAGAGGAAAGCTTGAAATGAGACACAGTGTCTGTTTCTCAGCTGTTCTCTTTCTCAGCACAGCAGAAATTTTAAACGATAACCAAGCACCAGCTACCATGGCAGAATAAAATAAAATAGAGCTCTGCTTTTTGGTGTATTGAAGATATTTAAAAACCAAAGTAACTCTAATTAAATGAATTATCTGTCATGAGTAGAAATCAAACAATTAGAATCATCCTCCATTAATAGAAATAGGTTCAGAAGGTAAGCAAATATAAATTACTACTATGAGTATACAGCAGGAAGTCAATGTGAAAAATAAAAAGCTCAAGCTAATATTGTATGAAAAACGTTCACCTGAAATCATTTGTGTCTACTTTAAAGGGCTTTAGTTTGGATATCTACATTTTAAGACAGTAAGTAATAACTTCTTTTCCATCTCAATAGTGCCTCAGTTTTACTCTCAATATATGCATGTATTTCTAATATGTTATACTAGCTATGAAAGTGCATTCTAAGGCTATAATCTTAAAAAGCTAATTATTACTATTATGGTTTATAATTATTACATGTAGGCTATATACATTTAGAGTCTAAGTTCCATTCTTTTACACAGCTCCATATAAATAGATTTGTATATTTTAAAGTGTACTCTGTACGTACTAAACTGATTCTCTTAATGAAGGTCTTCCAGCCTGCCTGGATTCAATAAGCTCCATAATATCACTTGCTCAGGCTTTAAAAAACGAATAAGCATGTCTGAGTATTCAACAGAAAAAGCAACTGCATCTAGGTAGACTTAAAAGCATTCCACCAGTGTGTGCTTAAGAGCATGCTAGAAACCAGACGTCAATAGTAATAAATTCATTAAATAATGAGATGTTTTATTAAAATTATAAAATCTATATCTATAAATATTGAATATGCATATGAAGTACATTTCTCTAAAGTTGGAATTAAGCTTAAAAGTTTGTGTCAGCCTGGAATGAAGTGTTCTTATGGGAGTGATATTCTGACATTTCAGTGGTGAAGAAAAGAAAGTAACATGTCTCCATACTTTTCAGCATACAGGCATTGTATTGAACTATAAAACACATTGAAAATGCGAGGTTGCTGCTCTGACATGTTATGTTTGTGTAACACTTCATAGGTTTCTAAAGAATTTTAAGTATGTAATCTTATCTCGTTATTCCAAAAACTCCGTGAGACAGGCACAATATCCTAGAGAGTATGTGATAGACCTTAGATAGAACTAAGCCCTTGACTATTATTTTGGCCACTTAAATCTGGTTCAGAGTTCTTTCACTCACATCTGTCTCAGCCTTTAGCATATAAAATGCTTTAATCAGGAATAATATACTCTGTCAAAGCAATAAAAAACAGCCTCAGAAGAAATACAGCACCACTTCTTATATATCATACAATTTTATAACCATATATTTTAACATATAGAACATCACATATTAAAATGTATTATTTTGAGGCGGGGTGCGGTGGCTCATGCCTGTAATCCCAGTACTTTGGAAGGCCGTGGCAGGTGGATTACCTGAGGTTCAGAGTTTGAGACCAGCCTAGCCAATACGGTGAAACCCCATCTCTACTAAAAATACAAAAAATTAGCCTGGTGTGGTAGTGCACATCTGTAATCCCAACTACTAGGGAGGCTGAGGCAGGAGAATCACTTGAACCGGGGAGGCAGAGGTTGTAGTGAGCCAAGATCATGCCACTGTACTCCAGCCTGAGCGACAGAATGAGACTCCAACTCAAAAAAATTAATTAAAAACAAAATGTATTATTTTGACATTCAAAATTTTAAAATATTACAAAGGCGGGCTACAATTATAATTAAGTAACTTCTAAAAATGATGGATAGATATGGCCCTCTAAAAAAGAAATTACTAAAATCATTAGTTTATCTTTTACATATATTCTCCTTTGACTTATATAATTTATATTAATTTATTATATATTATATATTTGTATTACATATTTTGCTAACAGTTGCAAAATAAATTCTCCAAACTATTCCCTTGCTCCCATTTTCCAAGTGAATAATAAATAAAAAATATCAAGATTCCTTCTGCCATGGAAATCTATTTTTTCAGCCAAAATCATCAGAGGGAAAAGAATTACTTTTAATGTTTTTCACTATTAGCATGCCATGCTTAAATTTTTTCTGCAACATGTACTACAAAACGACACAGTACAGTAAAACATAGGAATGCTTTGTCAAGTTGGAAAAGCTGATACTTACCAAAGGGGACATTTTTCTTCTTGATGGAGATACTTCACTTTCCTTATCTGCTTGTCGGCGCAACAAATCTTTGAGCTGATTAACTATAGAGCAAAAGCAGAGGGGTTATTAACCTTATTTGAGATCCATGGTTTCTTACCACCCATCCATCTTTCCAACTAATAAAAATTGCTGAAATATATATTATGCATCAAGAATTCTGCTATCAACTGGGGATACAAAGACCAACATCAGAAAAAAAAAAAAAAAGAATTTCTACCCCTTAAGTGCTAAGAATCTAGCAATGAAGAGAGAGACACTGATATAAAATAAGTTTGTATGTAGACCTAGAGCTGTGTACTGTGCTACAAGAAGAGGAAGCACCTAATTGTGCTTGTTTTCACAGAGGAGATAACACTGCAAGGACGAACAGGAAGGAGTTCACCAAGCAAAAAAGGATAAGAAAAATTCCAATTAGAAGGCACTGCACATGTCAAAGCATAAAAGCATAGCGAGGAGGTCATTATAACTAGAATATGAGTTGTGAGATGGATGATTAACATGAGAAGTACACAAAGATGAGCCGAAAAGGCAGGTTGGAGCTATCTTAGGAAAACACTGTGGTTTTGTAACTAAGAATTTCGGACTTTCGCCTATAAGCATTGGGAAGTCAAAGAAAAAAAGATTAAGCAAGGGAATTAAATTATCTGATTTGTGTTTCAGGAATAACATCATAGCAGCAGAACGAAGAATGAAAGGACTTATTATTCTACGGAGTTTAAAAAATTCACTATGCATCATTCAGGCTAGGACTGACTTTCATACTCACCAGCATGGCTCTGTTGTAATTCGGGCCAGGCTGTCCTGGCATCCTCATTTCCCACACTGGTGCTAAAAGAAAGATTTGGTGCATCTTCTCCAATAGTGACATCACCTTCTTTCAGGGCACATTTCAGTTGGTGAATGCTTCTACTGGCACGTTCTGCAAGAACAACCTGATGAAAGTTAGGACCGATGAAATCTGGGTGACCAAATGGACACTTGCTCAAGAAGGCAGTTTTTAAAGGTGAAATCATTATTTCTCGTACTTTATGGAAAAAATGCAGAGTTCTGTTTCTAGCTTGCTGAGGGATGTGCCAGAGATGGTGAGAGAAGATTAACTTCATGGTGTAGAGGTAGGACTTGATGATCTCTAAGGTCCCTATCACTGTAGCAGTTGATTTCACTACATATAGCACCACCAGCAAGGAGTATTAAATGACAGAACTCTTCCCACCAGCTCCCATTAAACAATAACTTGCTAAGGGAAGTGCTCTCCTTCCCCTCATGCCTGACTCCTCTACCAAGGTGGAGACAGAGGAGGACGGGAGGAGCTGTGGGGATGTGGGAAGAGCCAGCAAGAGGGACTGCATCACACCCAGTTCCAACCTAGGGAAGCCTCATTGTCCCTGGGGACAGGAAATTCCTCCCCCACCAAGAAACATCCACATGTCTGGCTTAGTTTTGATCAAAATTTGCATAGCTGAAGTGCTTATAGTGGCAGCCCCGGTAGTACAACTCTTCCGATATACTGCTGGCTAACCACACCTCATAGATTCTTGGTTAGTGCAACTGACCACCCCTAGAACACACAAAAACTGTCTAAAATGAAGCATTTTTAAGGTATATTACTGTGATAGTTCATCTCTAAAAATAGCCTCCAAGGGGTTGCAGTGAGCCGAGATCACACCACTGCACTCCAGCCTGGCAATAGAGCGAGACTCTGTTTCAAAAAAAAAAATAGCCTCCAAGGAACCCAGCCTCATTCCCTAGTTGTCTTCTGATCTGAAACTGACGGGGCCTGTAATCTGCATTAACCAATAGAATACAATAAAAGTCACACCATGTCAGACCCAGGCCTCGTCTTTAAAGGACTGGCAGCTCCTGCTTCCTCTTGGAATGTTTGCTTTTGGGAGCCCTAGGCCGCTATGTAAGATACCTGGCTACCCTGCTGGAGAGACCTGGGAAGAGCATACGTGGAGAGGAAATGAGAGGCCCTGAGACCCCGTGAAGAAAGAGAAAAGCCCTCCCCGCACGCACCCCGCTGCCCCCACTCCGACAGCCCAGTCCTCCAGAGGACTCTAGCACCAGAGGCCCTCTAACTGCAATGGCATGAAAGAGACCTGATTCATTACCAATCATGTATGAAAATATATTCATAAACATCTATTCCGTAGGACCTTGAAAAATAGTTTCCATTTTCTCCAAGTGCATTGATTTCAAAGTTTGGAACAGAAACAAAAGCAATGTTAGTACTTAATAGAAAAAAAAAAATCTCCATGTTACACAATATCTAATACAGTTTCTTTACTTACAGCAACTCATTTTCTACTTTGATAAAAGAAAACATGTATCTCAGGTCAGGGTTCGACAATGAAATTCTATTACTCAACTACACAAGAGACACAGTTAATTTATCACCATATTTTTCTCCATACCAATCCTATGTCCACACAGATCTTTGTTTGAAATGAATTTGGTGCTGATTACTAATGAAGACTGGCCTCCTCTGACTCATCATGAGTTTAAGGAAGTTCAGATAAGACACATTCCTGGTTTTGGGAATATATGAAACCGTGACAGTTTTACAATAACTTAGTATTAGAAAATAGAGTAGAAAAGAGATTTGGTCATGGAAAAGGAAAATCAAGTGTTACATGATAAGCAATTCAGTTCATGTAGCTTCAGATTTATGCCCTTAAATCCACAAATAAAACACTTATCTTCATTGAATCTATTAGAAAGGACAGAGATAGTTTAACTAACATAAAAATGTATTCCAGGTAAAAGTATTGTGCCGTTGGTGATTACGGAAGAAACAGGAGTATGGCATGACCATGAGGAAGCAAAAAAAAAAAACAAGGAACTATGCAACCATGAAGCGAATGCTTAGTCTCAGAGATCGGAGGCTTAAAGAAAAGGACAGAGTAAAACCTAAAGAGAAAGAAAAGAAGGATCCCAGCACGTTAAAGGAAAGAGAAGTTCCCCAACACCCTTCCTGCTTATTTTTCCAATATAATACACAGCTGGGCCCACCTTACCACATCCTCGTTGATACCAACTTCATCAACTTTTCCACAAAAGCCAAATGGACTTAGTGCAGTCAATGATGGACTGTCTGTAGGCCAAGTGTATCCCTTGGATAACTGATTGTGTAATGGCTGAAATTAAGAAATTGGGGCAGAAGTATAGAGTGGCTCTAAGGATCGCCAAGGATCCAAGATTTGAACGATTACCAGGAACACACAAAGGAACCTATGCACATGACTGCCTAGTACAGAGAGTAACTCAGCCTAAGTGTGTAAGTGTTACATTGTACCCACAGTTCACTGGACTTTTTTTTTTTTCTTCTTGAGAGGGAGTTTCACTCTTGCTGCCCAGGCTGGAGTGCAGTGGTGCAATCTCAGCTCACCACAACCTCAAGCCATTCTCCTGCCTCAGCCTCCCGAGTACCTGGGATTACAGGCACCTGTCACCACACCCCGACTAATTTTGCATTTTTTTGGTAGAGACGGGGTTTCTCCATGTTGGTCAGGCTGGTCTCAAACTCCCAACCTCAGGTGATCCGCCCGTCTCAGCCTCCAAAAGTGTTAGGATTACAGGCATAAGCCACCACGCCCGGTGACCGGGACCTTAAAAAGAAGAATCCACAAGATTCCTGGAATTCCTATTATGTAGATTTCCTTTCTTTTTCTTTATTTATTTATTTTTTTTTTTTGAGAGGGGGTCTCACTGTTGTCCCCAGGCTGGAGTGATCTTGGCTCACTGTAACCTCCACTGCCCAGGTTCAAGCGATTTTCCTGCGTTAGCCTCCCGAGTAGCTGGGATTACAGGCACGCACCACCACACCCAGCTAATTTTTGTATTTTTAGCAGAGACAGGGTTTCACCGTGTTGGCCATGCTGGTCTTGAATTCCTGACCTCAGGTTATCCACCCACCCTGGCCTCCCAAAGTGCTGGGATTATAAGAGTGAGCCACCGTGCCCAGCCTAGGGCAGCATTTTAAGGGCACTTTTCATTCCTTTTCTAATATTCTTGTTTAATCTTTTAGAATTTATAACATTCAAAGACTACATGTTAAATTGTACTATGAACACAATATTATGTGAAATAATGAACTATTGAATTCAACAACTATCCCAAAGAAAAGTGATACAAAAGGCTTTAAGGTTTGTTTGCAACTACTGACTTCAGAGGTACTAGAGACAGAGAGGAAAAGCAGGAATTTGCAAGAACTGTGCCCTAAAACTAAAACTACAGAGTTGACATTTTAAAGTCACTTCAGCGCTACATTTCAAAACATGCTAAGTGCTTTTCAAATATATAACAAAGCAACATAATTATATACTGTAACAGATAAACCCAGTTAATCTGAAGAAGAATAACACTCAGATGATTCAGGACAGATGAAAATCCCACGGCTCTTCAACTGGAGCCATTGCAACTGAAGCCCCCATAACCCTTACTAAGAGCACTACTCCCCAGATGCAGTTATCTGCTCCGTACATTTAAGGAAACCAGATTAGACAGAAGGTTCCAGTTATCGTTTCCTATCCAATTGCTAATGGGACACAGTTTTTTCTGTTTCTAACCAAGAGAGAGAATACGCTCATTTCCTCTTCTCTCCTGAGAGGAGAGTAAGGGTATTTCATGATGAATGCATCCTGATTTCTTTTCCCCAGCACCAACCAGGAACTGACTATAAACTTAACTATGACTACAGACACAAACAGGACCCCTGAGTCCTACAGATCACATGAACGTAAGTGCAAGTAAATAATATTTCTGCTAATGCACTATCCAAACATCAATCAGTACAATGAGCACTTAAACGGTACCTGAGCTAATGGCTGCTGGCTAATTTCAGTCTGTCTTGTCCATTTTCTTTTTTTTTTTTTTTTTTTGAGACAGAGTTTCACTCTTGTTGCCCAGGCTGGAGTGCAATGGCGCAATCTCGGCTCACTGCAACCTCCGCCTCCCAGGTTCAATGGATTCTCCTGCAACCTCCGCCTCCCAGGTTCAATGGATTCTCCTGCCTCAGACTCCCGAGTAGCTGGGATTACAGGCATGCGCCACCACACCGGGGTAATTTTGTATTTTTGGTAGAGACAGGGTTTCTCCATGTTGGTCAGGCTGGTCTCAAACTCCTGACCTCAAGTGATCCGTCTGCCTCAGCCTCCCAAAGTGCTGGGATTACAGACGTGAGCCACCCTGCCTGGCCTGTCTTGTCCATTTTCTTAGTAGAGTTTCCCTACTTCCTATGTTCTAACTCTTAGTTCACCATTGGGCCTCTCTTCATCAAGATGTTTTTGAACAAAATGCAAGTACATTTCAGTCTAGGACGAATCACCACTTATATACACACTGTGAATTATTAATTTCTTCATTCTCCATCTGTCCTGGGGGATGTGAAAGAGATTGCCCTGGTGACAGGGAGGGGGGACCACTCCCTGCGAAGCGCCCAGCTGTCTCTGAGAAAATATGCAATGAACTATTCCTCCGTAGGCCGAGACACGAGATGCACGGCAGCTCCCAGTACAAGCTTAGATTAGGGCAGACACGCAGAAAAATGAAACCACAGTGAGATAAGAGACACATATGTCTGTCCACACTTGACTGGGCCTCAGCCTAGTTCAGAAGATTGCTGTCACTGTTTATGAAGGAACCAACAGGTAGCACTACCAAGATATAAACAGCAGAAGCAAAAAATCAGACAAAGCCAGCTTTGTGAAAGGCAATTACAACTGTGAAAGAGATTACAAGTACTATGTAGAATTTTTTTTTGTTTAAATCTCAAAGAAAATACTATCCTAAGACTCTGATATCTGAAAATATGCTAAAGTGCTTGGCGCCAGGGGTAAAAGATAATCTGATAAAGAATGTAAACATCTTAATAAAGCAACATCTGGAAGATCATTAAAGATATATGGGTGGTGGCAAATC